CCTTCCTCGACAATGGGCAATGTTAGCTGACATAGATTGGTCAGGCTGCAAAAGAGCTAGCGACGGTCAAACCAAAACATGGCCTCAAGTCAATGAAATCTACAACAGTTAGTTTAAGTCACGTAGGAAGGTGTAGACTTCCTGACTGGTTGGAGTCCTCGGGACGGTAAAAACCAATGGCTGGAAACAATTGGTGATACGGCTCAAAATCGTTCTCAATGGCCAGCTCAGATGCATCCACTCCTTGTGACTTATGATTTCCAATGAAACTGTTTTGTTCTTCGTTATTACTCCTCCTTTGTCTCACACATCTGTTTACTGTCTCTAATATGCATTTCTTCTACTTCCTTCTGTTGCTTTGTGTGCTACATGGAGGGAGTGTGGCGACTTGAACTGGTGCACATATGTGCAAAGTTCAATGTCGAAAACAGACAGACAGACAGGGCTTCAAGCTAGTGGCTTGAAGTTTCTGTAGTAGTGTTTATTATTTTTACAGGATGGGGTTGCTAGCCTCATGCCCAACCTTTCCTCTTCACCAGCATTATTTCTGGCTCAGTGAGGTAAAGGAGTGAGTCGGCCGGGGATCGAACCCCGGAACCATGTGCATGGTCGGCGAGCGTCCTAACCGCTGTGCTACCGACGCTTTCTATTATTTAGATCAGAGAAATGATGCATTAAAGTCATTTTAATAATGGCTAACATAGAGAGTAGCGACCACGGAGTGTGAACGCACCAATGACCTTGATGTGACCAATGAGAAAGAACCGTGTCTTATACCAAAAAGGCGGTTATTTACTAGGCAAATACATAATGATAATAATAAAACACACTAAGGACTGTATTTCGCCCTGCCGTAACTCAAAATACTTCTTGATTACAATGAAGAGCATCAGTTATCAAGTTTCGCCCATACGAACAACGACGCACTCTCCAATCATTTATTTATTTACAAGAAAAATACAGATAGTACTGATAATAATAATAGTAACATAACACCTGGACAGTGATCCTAACCCTAGTCCAAAACTAATTCGTGACCCTAATATTAAACTTAACTCTGCTTTTATTTTATTCCTTTGCGTTCCGAGTGGAACATAGGGCTTGAAGCTTGATCATTGAGGTGTCAATAGCATTGGTGTTATTTTATGGGGATCATTTTACGGTGGGATTAACAGTCTCACACCCAACCTCCCCTCTTTATCGGGCTTACAACCGGCTAGAGGAAGCAAAGATGTGAGCCGGCCGGGAATCGAACTCCGAACTGTATGCATGGTCGGCGAGCATTCTACCGCTGAGCCACCGACGCCCTAACCCTATAGCACTTAAAAACAAGATCAAGATGAAATTCGCGCATCAAATCATGCACAGCATTCTAACCAGCTTTGTAATAACAGTGCGTTTTGTAATCCCACGAATGATATACATCCAAGGTCACCAGTGCGTTCGTATTCCATGGTCGCTATCCTTTATGCTGGCCAAATTGTGAATTTTTTTCCTTCACGTTCCCAGCAGAACATAGAGCCTGAAGCTAGTGGCTTGAAGTTTCTGTAGCAGTGTTTAATTTTACATTGAGTATTTCGAATACTTCAAGAAAATAGTGCTATTTATTTTGCATAGTGTTTACTAATGTAGAACTGAAAATTGTTTGAGTAATAATTAAGCCAATATCATGTAACTGGTGGGTTATTTCACAAATGACAATGTGAAGGTGTGGTTTATCAGCCTAGAAGCTGGGTTTCCGGTCGCCGGGTCACATGCTCGAACCTCATCCCCCTTACTGACACGTTTAGGCAACCAGGTAGTCTCACTTATCCCCCAACATATTAGCATTGCTTATTGTCAACTGTATGCAACTGCACGTGGTTGTCGAGTAACATTTCTTATTTCATTTCACAAATAGCAATAAATATTTGAAAGTATATACTTTAGGTATAAAATCTCAAGTTTTTCTTCATGAAAAACGAAATATTTACATGAGTTAGAATATTGCGAATGATTTCAACAAAATTTAATTAAGTTAAATAAAAAGTATTTAAAGTTGTAACGTTCTAATAAAGAAAGCATAAACGTTTAGGCGTACAGTCGACCACAAAGAATGAAAAAAATATAGCCGAATATTTTCGCAGGCTTCTTAGTCACGTGGTCGTATACTACAACAGAACCGTATACCTCTTATTGACAAAAAAAATATAGAACCTAGCAAAAGATATCTTATATGATAGACAACTTTAAAATTATCTCTTCTGAAGCATCGTGTGGTCAATAGAACAAACATTTATAAAATACATACATATTGTGGAATATAATTTCCACAGTGACAACGTGAAGATCTACAACTGTACAATTACAGTTAAGTCAATTCAGGCAAATGGCACCTAAGAATCAGAATGTGGTGAAGGTATAAGTCAGAAATTGTTTAGACATTTTGTTCTAAATAACTACAGTGAATTATTGATTCAAAAAGGGGAGTGCACAGAAAGTATATAGGATAAAAAACTCCATATTATTTCGATGTAGTCCATTAATAGCCTTAATGCGGATTTATTATTAGATTATTATTATTATTACCATGGTTTCTGAGTGGAACATAGGGCTTCACAACAGCACATCTCCATTTAATCCAACGTATTCCTGTGTTCTCGCTCCACACAGTCTGCTGCAGAATGCAGTCTACCTCAATTTGGAATACCATCGGTGATATTAGGCAAGCTTGTCTTATTGCCGTTGCCGCTGAAAAGTCTTCACTGAGTTTCCCGCTATAAATCATTTGATATGTGGTATCACCATATATATGTTGAGTGAGGTTGACAAAGGTTTGGGTACTTCATAGTGTTGTATCAAATTACAAATCACATCGCAGTCAACACTGTCGAAGATCTTCTCAAAGATGATGATGACGCGAAGTGTTTCAATCTGATCCGAACATGATTTGCTTTTTCTGAATTCAACTTGTTATGGGAGGAGTTTTACACCCAGAGAATATGTTTGTCTCTCGAGAATAACAGAACGTAATAATTTGCTTGGTGCGGACAACAGCATAATTCCTCGCCAGTTCTTGAAGAGGCCTAAGTCGCCCTTCTTCGTAGTGTGACAAGGTAGCCTTTCTTCTAATCCACAAGTGGCTTTCCTTCCTTCTAAACTTTTTGGAATAGTCGTGTGAAGATATCCTCTAAGGTCTCTGGATCTGTTTTCAGTGCTTTCGGAGGAACTCCTTCTGATCTAAGAGTTCTTACTACAGACAACATATCAGATTTTAAAAAAATAATGACCAAGGTTCCGTACAATATGTTGGCATTTATTTTCTGTAACATTTTAATATACAAACTCGATATAGTATGGACACCAGAAGTAAGCAAATAAATAAATAAGCAAGCATAGAAGTTTAAATAGATACACTAAAATAAGTAGTCAGTAGTTTTGTTCTACCTTCTCTTAACAGAGGATAAGTACGCTGTTCCAAGCAACTAAGTTAACTGGTCTCTCAACTGATGGTAAGTGAAACTGTGGCGTGTGCTGCTGATAAGAGTTTTCAGTAGTATATAAAGAGATGTTCATCGGCATGCAAATGTCAAATAGAGGAGAGATAGATTTGACGACAAGGAAAGCAAATGATTCAGAGTTGCGGAAAAATATGGCAGACACGAAAAGAAGACAAAGAAACACAGTACGAAGGGTAGAAGTAGCACAACACGGAAGATCTGTGTAGATGACGATTTGCAGATAAAGTGTCTATATACTTCACAATATAGAGATACCAAATTTTAAGTAAACATTCCGTTACCGGGTCTATAGTCTTCTGCTGTTACAACAAAACCATTACCTTACTTTATGGGATCAGTTTATAAAATCATCGTCGTAACACTTCTATAAAATAATCGTTAAGCTGGTAAATACACAGAAAGTCATAAAAGCCGTTTTGGTACTGAATACGGCATATTTTCAAACCCCTAAAGTCGGTACTTTAAATTGAATGATTAATGAAATTAATGAATGACGACCTATCTCAACTCTTAATAAGAGTAGATGAACTGCAGAATTACCTATAGGTAAAACATGTACAAGGTAGTTTTTCTTGTATTGGTGATACTGTATATTCAGAATGAAAACAACCAGGACATATATATACTGACAACAGGACATTATAAATATTTTAATTCATGAACTAACTAAAAACCATAGAATTCTGACTCAGTAGCGAAAAAAATTAACTTGTTAGCCAGTACCTCAGAGGGTATTGGACTATCGTAGAGATTTGTGTGACCACTATTCAGCAGTCTCAAAGGAAGAAACTTCCAAGAAGTCAGCGTTGAAGCAAACTTTAGAAAAACTAACAAAAACAAATATATGAACAATATAAACAAATATGAAATCCTGGAATAAACCAATCAAATCCCTACAAACTAATACTTGAATATCAATGAGATGGTCACTGGTGACTTGCCTTACTCATGTGGGTAGTTCCAGTGGGGTTCTAATGAGAAGTCATGACCAGTAGGGCATGAGGTCAAATACACGCCGAAGACATTGGCTAGGGGTCACGCTATGTCGTGAGTTGGCAGAAGTTAGAATTCATGCACTGGGTATTGGATCGGGTCCCAGTGGCTCAATGGTATACGAGCTAGCTCTCATTATAACCAGGAGGTCCTGGGTTCGAGCCCAAGTGGCGGGTGCGCACTGATGAAGAGTCCCAAACTAGGCTGACGAAACAACTGTCCAGTACTTCCAGCTGGTTTTCCAATGGTTCTCTTACTGATGTCAGCTCATGATGAAATCCTGAAACCAATCAATCAAATCCCTACAAACCAATACTTGAAAAACAAATATAATTTACAGTAATATAACAGGACGCTAAGATAGGAACAATTTAGTAGTTCATTATTGCATGTGACATTGAATCTCGGGTGATCAAATCGATATCGAACGTTCGACATTGTAAAGTACACATCTAGACGTAAACATATGACATATATATATATATATATGATAGGCCTTAGACTTACATTAAATAAATTGATGTCAGCTACTACTCCTACAAACAGGCAGCCGACTATTCCTCCACATTCGTAACTGCTAACAACCAAATTCGCTAAAATTAATAAAAAATAACAGTAAACAAAAGTATAATAGATAGAATTTACAGGACACATTAGGCAACAACTAAAAACAATATACGCTTATTGCAATATGTTAATTTAAGTAGTATATTTAACAGGATGAGATGAAAAGCAATTTTAGAATCGGTATAAAATAATCAGTTAGAAAATTGTTGTCTATCTGTGACGTTACCAAAAAATATCTTTCTACATAGTGAAAACAGAGGTGATGAATATTTCTGGCCACCAGCAACAGCAACAAGCAACAATCAGCCAGCATAAATGGGAGGAACCTGAAAGAAACAACCTCCTTCACCCACCTACCTGGAAAACATCGTTTCAACTACAGACGGAAGTGACGTGGATATCAAAGCGAGGATCGGGGAAGCAAGACAAGCTTTTATTACTCTTAAGTCTGTGTGGAGGTCAACAGTACTCAGCATCAAAAATAAGATCCGGATTTTCAACTCCAATGTGAAGTCACTCAATGCTACTATACGGATCAGAGATTTGGCCAGCGCGTCATAAAGAGCATCTCAAACAAACTTCAGACCTTCATTAACAGTTGTCTTCGCTCAATACTCAAGATCAGATGGCCAGAAAAGATCAGCAATAGGGATCTCTGGCAATGAGCGAACCAACCAGGAACCGATTGTGCAATAAATGTGCATAAAGAAATGAGATGGATTGGCTGGCCATACTCTGAGAAAACCATCAAGTGACATCACTAGACAAGCCATCGCTCGAGTGGAACCCAAAAGGGAAGCGGCGAGTCGGCCGTCAGTGGAGAGTGACTTGGAGGAGGTCATGTGAGGAGATGAAAGCATTTGGGTAGAGTTGGAGCCAGGTGAAAACTCTAGCAGAGAACCAAAGGTAATGGAGACGCGCGGCTGAAGCCCTATGTTCCTCTAGGAATTAAAGGAAATAATCATAATACATTTCATATCATTTTTTGAGGCGATTGGTAGGGAGACAAAGTTATACCATTCTTAATAATAAGTACTTAATTACTACGGTATGTGGACAGTTCTGTATTACAGTACTTAGTGTTTGATTTTTGTATTCGTATTTACTAAGTGATGTAGAGATCGATTGTTGATTGCAGATTATAGAACATTTCCTCCTTGGAGAACTAATTAATATTCCACCTATATCTATATCATCTAAAACCGATTGTGTTGTTATGTGAAATATGGAAGATTACCACTATTGACTCTCACCTGAACAAAACCTCATGCTTCAGAAATATGGCTCTAAAAGATGGACTAATATTTGTGAGGGTGCGTCGGTGACATAGCGGTTAGGACGCTCGCCGACCATGCACATGGTCCGGGGTTCAGTCCTCGGCCGACTCACTCCTTTACCTCGCTAAGCCAGAAATAATGCTTGTAAAGAGGAAAGGTTGGCAATGAGGCTAGCGACTCAATCCTGTAAAAATTAAACACTACTACATAAACTTCAAGCCACTAGCCTGAAGCCCTATCTTCCACTGGGTAACGTGAAGGAAAAAAATTGCTTGTGAGAGGTATAGTATTTGCTAAGTCCTTGTATTGTAGTGTAATTGTGAAAGTTAATTTCTGTGTAACTAAATAAAAAACGTAAGTATTTGTTGACAAGATTATAACAGCTTTCTGCAATGAGGTAAACAGATACTAATAGTTCGACCACAAATCTTTACTTACAAGATTTTGTACCAGGTTATATGTCACATTGAATGTAAGTGTTAATGATAACAAATGATCACGTTTGGTGGAGTGGGATGAGATCCCGTGATTTATTGGTATAAAAATCTATTATTTACACTCCTGTCGGTATCAGTTAGTCCTCCTTAAGCCACACTTTTGAGTTTCATTTACACAATATAGTAAGAATTTTCATTTAGGGATTTGTAGTGAAATAAACCAGTAGGGTGCAGCTGGTCGGGTGTGAGGACAAATACTCGCCGAAGACATTGGCTAGCGGTCGCGCTATGTCGTGAATTGGCAGAAGTTAGAATTCAAGGGCCATTGGATCGGGTCCCAGTGGCTTAATGGTATACGAGCTCGCCTTGTAACCGGAAGGTCCTGGGTTCGAATCCCGGCGGGTGCGTACTGCTGAAGAGTCACAAACTATGACGAAACAGCTGTCCAGTACTCCCAGGTTTTCCAATGGTTCTCTAACTACTGTCAGCTCATGATGAAATCCTGAAACCAATCAAATCCCTACAAACCAACACTTAAATAAACTTTTGTTTGTATAAAATGTTACGTAATACTACACTTCAGGTTACAAGACTAGTGAGATTGTAGACCATATAAGCACTGGGATCCGATCCAGTGGCAGGTGCATGAATTCTAACTTCTGCCAATTCATGACATAGCCCGATCACTAGTCAATGCCTTTGGCGTGTATTTGTCCTGACACCCAACCTGGTGCACCCTACTGGTCACGACTTCTCCCTAGAACCCCAGTGGGTGTGTACTGATGAAGAGTCCCAAACTAGGACGAAACATCTGTCCAGTACTCCCTGTAGGTTTTCAATTAGTTCTCTAACCAATGTCAGCTCATGATGAAATCCTGTAGCCAATCAATCAAATCCTTACAAACCAACATTTGAATATCTTAAAACTTGACCAATAGAATTCATTCTGCACTTACATCAAGGACTAGACATATGATACTAGTTGCTACACGTAGCGTTGAATGAAAGTATCCATTACAGCCTAACAGGAAGTCGACTGCAAGCTCGAATAGCTCAGTGGTAACGTCTCTGACTGCAGCAGTGGATAACCCAGGTTCGAATCTCAGAACGGACATGAGTTCCTTCAAGATTGCAGGTACGCTTTGCTAATTGGTGAGTGACAACTAGCAAGAAACCTAGGTCCAAAGCTTCCCGCCGATTGTCTCCAACCATTTAACAACAACAACAACAATTCAGAGTGCACCGTGATGGCAACATTGCGAATTTGACTGATAGGATTCAGTCTGCACGAACACAAAGGACTAGACACATGATATTAGTTATCACCTAGTGTTCACAATAAAAAAAATCTTAAAACCAAATAAGAGCATTACAGAAATGTTGTATAATGACGAGGAGGTGTGAGCAACAGTAGATGAAGTCCACTATAATTCTTAAAATAATTTCAGCTATATGGTCAAAATTTTCATTACATGTTTCCTAATTTGGTTTTATGTGATGGGAGATCTACGAGAATTATAAATGACACTATCGAATGCTTAGATGGATAAAATTAATCGCTCTACGTGCATAACTTACTAGAGATCTTTATTTTACACTAGTAGTGTATAGGAGGCTGTGAGATTACGAAGGAAACAATAATCACCATAAAATGGATATTTGGATTTAACATAATGTTTCAGTGCTTTTCAAATACCATTCCAGGTCAGGTGTCCGAGATGAGGCACTGAAAAGTAAGTTCCTACTACGTTGCTTCGTATACTTTAACAATATTTCGATTCCTCAGTCAAACTTTACCAACCTTGGTAGATCCAATCCTACAGTAGACGAGTTGTAACGTGAAAAGAAGCATGTTTAGGTCACTGGTGGAACGTATGTTTCCTGAAAGACGTGAGATACGACTATTTTATGAGTGCCAGTAAGAAGGAAAAACATCAATCTGGTTTGCTAAACCGAATAATTCGAAATATCGAACATCAGAAATCCACTGCAATATTGTTGGTTAGCTAACTCACGAAACACAGTACACATCTGATCGATAAGCATCAACAAACAATCGAAACTTGACAACTACATTGACGCCTTTGTGTAAATGTCATGAGGACATGATTATCAGACTAACTAGATTAGGTTTTAAAATCTACAAAATATGACCTAGAAGCATTATGCTGTCCTTTAAAAGTTTTATTGTACTAATGAACGTTACTCATTACAGATTTCAACTGGTTGAAATATCCTGAAGACTAGAAAAGGAAGCAGGTAACAAACTTTATTATTTATTTATTTATTATAATTACGATTGAAAAAAAAACAATTCCTTAAGATTAGTACTACAAAACATACCTGTATTTTTAGAGTAAGCCTCTTTATTCATTAAAAGCATTACTCCAATCCAATCAGCTAATGCATAGCGTAGAAATGTACTGCACATATGAACAATAGCAGAACTACCTAACAATAAACGCTGTCTTGGACTTAAAGTTTGAAATAATTTTGAAATTTGATGAATAACAGACAATTTTACAGGATGCGTTGTTAAACATTTATCATGATTGTCATCATTGATAGCATTTTTCTTTTCTTCTTCTATTTCTAAAATATCAATAAGTAGTACAACGTTGAATTATACAACGACCGAAGTATTTTTATGCTCATAACCTCAATTATTATTTCGCAGTTACTTAACAATAAGACGATATCTTCGACTCACTAGATGTTTTTTATTAAACAAACAATTGTTATTTTTATATAAAGATGCTGTGTGATAGTGGTAAAAAAAGAAATATAGAATAAATTAACGATTTTGCGCAACTTGTGACTAAACATTAGGCTTTTTAAATGAAATATTGGACAAGTCGGCTAATTTCGAGAATAGACATCCTGAGGAACGAACACACTGTGATAAGAGCTCGCTGTTAGTCAAAAGTGGTGGACAGTAATTTACATCAGTGTTTATGTCCCCAATATTGGTCGTGAGAAAAATGAGAACAAAGGCTTTGCTTAGGCGGATACAGTTAACATATAGATGAAGCACCCACAAAAGATACAAGGTTGACTTTCGGTGAGAAACAACCAATCAGAAAACTGTGTTTTTCTGCTAACAATAATCTATAATAATGTACATGAAAATCTAGAAATATGTGTTGATTTACTTAATAAATGATCTGTTGCCTGGCCCTTGTCTTCTGTTGTTACATTTAGTGTCGCTGCTTACCGACAAATGAAAAGCCTATGCCCTGCAGTTTCTGATGGAGACATATGGATCATCGGGCAGGACTCCAAGGCTTCTGCGCAGTTGAGTGGCGTTCAAGATCTGTCAGCGATGGGACTGTTACTTGGGACGCTGCTGGGAGGTCGGGAAAAAGCAGCATATGAAAGTGTAAGGCGAAATACTGATGAATGTGCGACAGGGTCAGGCAAACAGTTTCCAAAGTGGGAAGGACCACAGATAGTCACGTTGAGATGGAGTTATACAGACACAATCGTAATGGTAAACAAAGAGAAACAGGTGAACATCAGCGAGCGCCGAGATTCCAGACAAGACAAACGAACAAAGCCCTTAGAACCAAGAAGACCGAACCAACTTCAGTTGCAAGTCTTTGACGGGGGGAAGGGGTATGGTGAGAGCTGGCTGTTAGTCAGAATTGGTGAACAGTAATTTACATCAATGTTTATGTCCCCAATATTGGTCGTGAGAAAAATGAGAATAAAGGCTTTGCGTAGGCGGATACAGTTAACATATAGATGATCTGACATTCAAGAAACAGCCACAAAGAGATGTAAGGTTAACTTTCGGTGAGAGACAACCAATCAGAAGACTGTTTTTCTGCTAACAATAATCTATAATATGTACACGAAAATCTATAAATATAATAATACTTGACACCCTTTGCGCAGGAGGTAGCTATCATGACACAAGTGGTCTAGTGGATAACGCCTTGGTGTTTGAAACGATGGGTACTGGGTTCAAGTTTCAGTGAGAACACCATCATTCAGTGTGAATGATGGTACATTAGGCTGACGAATCCCAAATAGGACGAAATGCGCATTCTTGGTTTCACTCTTAGTCACCATTTACCAAATAACTTCCAGCAGTTCAAAGTATATTACAGTTAAATTAAATGAAGTGGATTTTATGCTGACTATAGAAATAACTAACACAGGTCTACTTACTTTCATCAAAAATTTCTACTTGATTACTTTTAGTACATTTGTACGATCCAGTTGTTGATTTAGATATTAAACTCTGATTAGTACAGCCTTCTCTGTGTTTTAATTCTGATTTAAGATTCTTAGGATTGATTGATTGATCATTATTCATTGAAATTTCAATTGGTGAAGACTTTGTCGATATAGTCTTAGAATAAATTTTATCATCTGATCTAGGAAGATATCCTATTCGAAAATGTTGATAGACTAACAGAAGTAAAGCTGATATGATACAACAAGTTCCTGTGAAATATAAAATCAATACAATATTTAAATTCGAAAGAAAGTAAATAACAAATTTAATAATCATGATAATAATTACATTTGAAACTTCCCGGTTACAATGGGTTCGAAACCCAGTGGGTGCTTATTGCTGGTGAGTCTCGAACTAGAACGAAACAGCTGTCCAGCACTCCCTGCTTTTCAATGGTCCTCTAACTGATATCAACCTGTGATCAAAACTTGAAATTAATCTAATCCCTAAAAACTAACCCTTGAAAATTAATCTGTTGCACGCCAGTGACTGGCTAAAGGACGAAGTTGCCTGGAGTTCTAGTGAGAAGTCAAGACCAGTGGCGTCCACCCGATCGGGAGTGAGGATAAATATTTACATCACTAATTAAAATGATTCGAAAAGAATAACAATTCCTTTCTACTCCTGGGGAAGTTGTTCAACCTACTGAATAAGCAACTGACCGAAATATCCAAGACATTTATTGTTTATATACAGATATATAATGGGTAGCTTTCATCGTTTAGTGTTTAACCCTGTATCAGGTATATAATTCACATTAAATCGTGGAAAATACCCATCAGGACAACAGAATTGGAAGTTCAGTAAAGATGTTTTTCAGCGATTTCATCCTCAAAAGCTGACTATAGCATATCTACACATAAATTTGCATAGTTACAGTTATTATTCAGTGCAGTACAATAACAAAAGGAGATTAAAGGTGATAATCTTCAACTTGATATGAAAGCTTGAACGTGTGACTATAGATCACAAGAGACATAGAAACACAATAACATGGGATTAGAAAATAGTTGCGTAATGAGTGAAGTAGTTTTTAACGAAAATATGTATGAACAGAATGACGATAAGAACAAACTGAAATAATAGGTTTTATAATTGAAGACTAAGAAAAAATGAAGGGAATGAAAAAGACTACAAATAAAAAGCCAGCAGATACTTGATCCATGGTAAATGTAGGGGACACACTAATTTCCTTTGAACACATAACTCCGACTTCTTCTTGATGCATATCAGTGAGGGCTTCTCCAGTTAAAAGAATTCAGAAACACACTACCTTTAGGTAGGTTTTTCTTTACTTTTGTAAATGACTCTGAATAATGAGTCTATAGACATACTGTGATGATAAGTGTTGACAAGGTGTTCAAAGCGTGTTACACAGAACACTATCCAGTATGGCAGCAAAGTGTAGGCACTGGTTCAATCAGAAATGCTACAATTTACATTACTTTCATTCTTTTTTAATAGAGATTTAATTCGCGGTGATGATAAACACAAAATTGAGGAAATAGAGAGGATTTTTTTCAGAGTATATGTTGAGTTTTTTCCTAACATTAAGTTTGTTTTTATTCTGTTGAATTGGCAATGATTTTTATCACGTATCATGATATCTGTAAGTATACAAACAGTTCGTCATCTGTATATATGTGGTTGCTTCTTTGAGAACTATGAGGGATTTAATCTATATATCAATTTTTTCTGGAAGCTAATAATAGCTAACTGATGTAATAGTGAAGGGATGTAAGCATTAAGCACAATAATTCAAGTAGTCACACTAAGAGAGAACATACTGAAACACGTGCCTATATATATATATATATATGTTCACAATATGATATAATAACACGCTGTCGACAATTAAACAGGATAAAAACTTATACTCATTTAGATAGTTCATTAAAATCTCTAATACACATTATGACTTGTGCAGAAATATTTATCTCAGAATTGATTTTAAATTTTACATCATATAATAATAACCGTTACATTTAGCTTGAATCTATTGTTGAATATAATATGATCATATTATACAGTAATTAGCAGAATGGAAGTGCCAGCTACTTATAAACACATATAAGTAGTATGTACAGTAACTCCCTCAGAAAAATAACGCTAATGCAAAGGTCGCCGGAGGAGAGACGTCAAAAGATATTAGCCATTTTGAGAGGAACCTAATCACCAATGCAATCAAGAACAAAACACCCCCAGTGTGTTATCACTATTCATTTTTTTGGAGTTCCCAGTGGAACACATGGAGTTTCAGCGACACCATTCCTAACATAGAATAGATGATATTGTTTGCATATATTGAAACTAATCGTCTATTATTTTGTTAATATTCATTGTACTTTGTCTCATTAGTCAATACACCTGATCTCGCCAATCAGTCTTATTCTTTCCAGTACGACTACATATTTTTGATTGGACACTAGTCAGTAACTAGTGTAATTATGTGACTAGTCCTTTGTTTGGTGCAGACTGAATTATATCAGTCAAGCTTGCAATGTGGCTACCATGCTAGGTGGCTCGCCGTCACAGTGCCCTGTGAACTGCTGGTATTAGATGGACTAGACACATTACACTAGTTAATGACTAGTGTCCAATCGAAAATATCCCATACAGTTCTACAGGAGGTCAATCGCGAGCCCGAATAGCTCAGTGGCAACATCTCTGACTGCAGCACTGAGTTATGAGAATTTGAATCTCAGAAGGAGCATGAGTTCCCTTAGGGTTGCAGATACGCCGTACTGACTGGTGAGTGACAACTAGCATGAAACATAAGTCAAACAAGGCTTCCCGCCGATTGCCTCCAACCAACCAATACCAACAGTACGACTACATGTTGGCTATTTATGATATTTATTTATGATAAACGTGTGATTTTTCATCCCCCTAAGAAAGAGTACATCTTCAATGCCTATTAAGCACCATATAGAAAAGAAGGGACTTGTAAAGCATAATGAAATGATCTTAGACACTAATATATTTCTAAAATGAGATAGGGAAAATATGGAAAAATCACCAGTCAAAACTATCTAAAACAGTCTTGTTTAGAATTTGAAAAACCTTACAGAATATACTAAAGCACTAACAATTCCAACACATACACATCGATATTCAAGTGCTGTCCAGTACTCCCAGGTATTTCAATGGTTCTCGAAACAATGTCAGCTCATGATGAAATCCTGTAACCAATCAACCAAATCCCTACAAACCAACACTTGAATATCGATGAGATGCTCACTAGCAACTTGCCCTATTCAGGTAGGTAGTTAGCTGGGGTTCTAGTGAGAAGTCGTGACCAGTAGATTGCAGCACGTTGGGTGTGAGGACAAATACTCGCCGAAGACATTGACTAGCGGTTGCGCTGTATCGTGAATTGGCAGAAGTTAGAATTCACGGGCCATTGGATCAGGTCTCAGTGGCTTCATGGTCTACGAGCTAGCTCGCCTTGTAACCAGAAGGTCGTGGGTTCGAAGTGAGGTGGGTGCGTACTGTGAAGAGTCCCAAACTATGACGAAGCAGCTATCCAGTACTCCCAGGTTTTCCAAGGGTTCTCTAACCAATGTCAGCTCATGATGAAATCCTGTAACATTCACATCGCTCAGATCATTAAATTTGAGATTAAAGAGCTAGCGATATGTATGTATGCATATATATATATATATATTGATCACGAAGCCCTAACATTTAATTCATGATATGTTGATTTCTGAACATGTTGGTTATTTACAATAAATGATCCACTTACGTTTGCTATTGCAAAACAAATGTAAGAGCAGGCCATGTTTGAAAACCGTCTACAATACCGCTGACATTAATAATGAAAATTTACGACATATTTTGAAAAAAAAAGGTGGACAAACGATTTTTTGTCGATTAAAACTTGAAGGTAATCATAAAACATTAAAAATGACTTTTTCTCCTCCTATATTTATTGACTCCAATGTTTTCGCAGACAATATGAGAAGGTTTTCAAGTATTGGTTTTGTAGGGATTTTGTCTGTTTGATTTGTTGGAGGATTTCATTATGAAGTAAGATCCGTTAGAGAACCATTGGAAAACCAGTAGGGAGTACTGGACAGCTGTTTCGCCATGGTTATGCATAATAAAACATTTCAAAAAATTTACTATTACCATAGTAAAATTTAGATACATAACACTACTGTTTTGGATTAGATCTCTTGATGTTTCATCTTAATTATCAAGTATTGATTTGCAGAGATTTGATTGGTTTCAGGTTGGATCACGAGTCGAAATCAGTTAGAGAACCATCGGAAAACCTGCAGGGAGTATTGGACAATTGTTTCGTCCTAGTTTGGAACTCTTAAATAGTACGGACTCACTGGGGTTCGGACGCAGGACCTACTGGTTACGAGGCGAGCTCGCACACCATTCAGCAACTGGGACCCGACCCAGTATACATATTAATATGTAATACTAAAGGAAGAAGGTACATTCACAGTACGCCTTGATGGTACATCCAGTGATATCATCCGCTTTCTATTCACATTCGCCTTCATAAATTACAAATGAAATAAACGACATTACTTACTCCATACTTTGTAATTTGCTTGCACAAAAGCCTCAACAGTTCGACTAACCAATTTGCATCTCTAAGATAAGAAGAATCACGCAAGTTCCGCTGTGTGTACTTTAGGAAAACCGTATAGTCATTGTATGTTATTGCTCATTTTCTCTTCATTAAACAATACATAACTGCCGAAAGTATTCCCTTGTTAAAATTTGTTCAGAAGGTTTAACAGTGAGTTTTCGGCTTTTCCATTTTAATTTGTACAATTTAGTTTGATTTCGCCCAGTTATAGAATAGGTTTGTCCAGCTTCCCTAAAATTGGGTTTTACATTCCATAAGTTTTCTTAAGGCGTTATGTTGTTCGATCAGTCTACTTATGGAAGACCAACAGATTACAAATATGACAAACACAGATGTCTGAAGTTATCGCATATGCTTATCAAAATGATGCCAGTCAGTTAATGATAGTATGGTAGACAGCGGTTGATCTCTGACGAAATCTCAGCCCGGATACAGAGGGCTAGTTTCGCATATGCCAGTTTACGCCGTCTCTGGTGCAGACGTGATATCCGCCTGGCTGTCGACCAAAGGGCGGGTGTACTACTCAGTAGTCCCCTCTGTCCTCCTTTATGACTGCGAGACGTGGCCATTGAGAGTGGAAGACATGAAAAGATTAGCTGTCTTTCATCATAGGTGCCTGCGCTCTATCTCCCATGTGAAGTGGTATAATAAGGTGAGCAATATTGAGGTTAGGCGTCGGTCGAGTGCTAGGTAGGTGGGAGGGGAATTCAACTGACGAGGCTGTGAAATTACATCGACTGAGATGGTTAGGACATGTGTTACGCATGCCTAGTCGTCGCCTTCCTCGACAATGGGCAATGTTAGCTGACATAGGATTGGTCAGGCTGCAAAAGAGCTAGCGACGGTCAAACAAAAACATGGCCTCACCAGTCAATGAAATCTACAACAGTTAGTTTAAGTCACGTAGGAAGGTGTAGACTTCCTGACTGGTTGGGGTCCTCGGGACGGTAAAAACCAATGAAGGCTGGAAACAATTGGTGATACGGCTCAAAATCGTTCTCAATGGCCAGCTCAGATGCATCCACTCCTTGTGACTTATGATTTCCAATGAAACTGTTTTGTTCTTCGTTAATACTCCTCCTTTGTCTCACACCTCTGTTTACTGTCTCTATTATGCTTTTCTTGTACTTTCTTCTCTTGCTTCGCGTGCTACACGGAGTGTGGCGACTTGAACTGGTGCACATTTGTGCAAAGTTCTATGTCGAAAACAGACAGACAGACAGATGATCGACAGGTGACTGTGTATCGTACAAAATTGCATGCTATAACTCTTAGGCCAAAATAAAGACTTAATGGGGCCTTCCAAGAAGTGTTTGCTTATGATAAATTCCAGGAATTATTCAAAGGTGAAGGCAAGGATGAACATAACTCATCTAACACGTGTCTTCATTTTATTAGCAAATCACTCAGTTGTCTTATAGTTCCACCTACGAAGGAAGACTTCAATGTAGCTTTTTGACGAAAATGTCGTCAGATGATAATTGTGTACTTTAATATTTCGATCAGGAAGAAAAGGGAGGTAGGTGTGTGCGTATGAATAACACATAACAACAAAAACATGGCAGATGATGGTAATAATAAAAAATACTTTAGTCACTTATTTTTTCACCCTGAACAGCGGATGTAAAATGACAGGAAAAATCTAAATTACCTCAGTTACAAAATAATACAGTACTTAATAAATATTCATATTATCCAATATTTTCCATAGTATTATGAGGAAATAAAGAGAAGGCGCTTTCTTTAAAGATTAAAAGTCAAAAAGACGGGCATTTAATTCCCCCATCATGGGAAACGATGATAACTTTTAAGAATACGAAACAGAATGTGTTGACTTAAACTCTAATAAAGATGAAACACAGGACTTAAATATAGTAGGATATAGAAGTGATTGAGTGAATCTTCAAAAAAAAAAAAAATAAAACACACGTACCAATAAAAATTAAAGGTGCTCGCCATGCAAAATTGTCAAGAAATACTGTTGAAACTGAAAAGATTCCAATTGATAACCAAGAACCTATACAGCCGGCAACATTAGCAGATGAAGATATAACACCCCACCAAGTGGCGAGTTCTTGAGGAGCTACATACTTAGAATTTTTAACAAAAAAAATGAAAACAAACTGGTAAGGTATTTCACCAAAGTTTGAATTATTTTCTTCAAAAAAACAAACAAATAAATATTGATAGCTGTCTTATAATATTGAGCTATTCAGCTATTATAACATGTATACAACGGAGCATTTTACACTGCCTCTAGTTGATAGATTTCAAGTCGACCAGCCATAAATTTGATTTAAACTTATACCTTTAACCAACCCCATGCCCTTATTTCTACAACCTGTGGTGTCAACAAAATATGTTCCAATTCATAAGGAAACACCAATGACTTGTGTGACAATGGTTGCTGAAAGAAGTGAAATAGTTTTGTGGTCTCAATAAATCATACAATATGGTGAAACTCAAAAGTCTAGGTATCAAATTATCAGCCATGTACAACATCAAGTCAGTCTGTGGAAAAAGGTGGTGGGGGACTTGGGACAAAGATCATCCTCTCCCTGATACGAAACATAACTAAAGAAGTTCCATTAGTTAACTGACCTCATAAAATGTTGATCTATTTAATGAAGTAGGATATGTATACGGTAGACCGATACTGACAAGTCTTGATGTTTCATTGACACTTTAATGCACGATAGTAACTCATCTTTTAATCTATTTTATTCTGACTAATCATGTTCTCTTCCCTCTTATTCAACTTACCGATTCGTGATGCGTTGTTCAAAAATATGATACATGGAAGCAGAGAATCAGTATGTCGAACCATATATATCACTATATTCGACTAACTTAGAATTATTTCTTAAAAAATTATGAACCTTTTAAGACTCAAAGTAAACATTTACGAAATCTAACACTTGTAGAAATATGCTATATGGAAGTGTAAATCTATGGTATGAAGAACACCTACAACAAAATTACTTCCTACAAATCCTACTGACATAAAATTCTTTTTTACTTCTGTAATTAAAATAGACAATGATAAAATAGTATTCGATTCTCTTAAATGATAAGGCTTACGCAACGTCCATTGAATCTCGCGATTTATTATTATTGTCCCCTTGGGTTCCTAGTGGAACAGGGCTTCAATTGCACGTCTCCACTTGCTTCTGTCTTCCTTCTGCTGTACTTTTCACCTGCATCCATGCATGTTAGTCCATACTGTTTCAACTCCTCTTCACACGATCTCCTCCATGTCACCCTTGCACTGACGTCCCACTTGCCGCTTCCCTTTCGGGTTCCAATCGAGCAATGGTCTGACGAGCGATGTCACCAAGCGGTCTCCTCAGCAAGTGACCAATCCATCTCCACTTTTTCCTGCATATTTTTTGGGCGATTGGTTCTTGTTTTGTTTGTTCCCATAGTTTCTTGTTGGTGATTCTTTTCGGCCATCTGATCTTCAGTATAGAGCGAAGACAGTTGTTGATAAAGGTCTGAAACAGACTGTTGGAAATATTTTTTGTGACCCGCCCGCCAAGTTTCTCATCCGTATAGAAGAAGTGATTAACCTGACGTTTGTATTGAAAAACCGACCGAATTTTGTTGTTGATGCTGGCTGAGTGACGAAGATTTCCAGATTGGTTTCAGGTTGATGAATGTGTTTTTCGCTCGTCTTCCCGATTCTCACTCTATTTGACATCCTCGTCCGTTCCTCCTGTAGTTGAGACAATGCTCCCTAGATAAGTGAATGAAGTAAACTCTTTCGGATCCCTCCCGTTGATGGTGATTGGCGCTGGCTGTTGCTTGATTATTTTCATAACCCCCGTCTTGTCTATGTTCACCTGGAGTGATAGACAAGACGGTTATGAAAATAACCAACCGACAACAACAACAACAGCACGATAGAGACAGCTTTTAAAACTAGAATGAAAGTGCTATAGATGAAACCGGAAACTTATAATGATAATAAATAGGATAAAACTGTTCAGTTCCTCTCAATTTCTTAAAAAATTATAACCAAACTATACATGTAAACCTTGTTTTATCTTGACATACCATACGAAGTAACTTCGATACGGCCGGCCAACCAGAACCAAGCGTTAAACCAGACATTCCATAAAGCAATAGCCAAATCAACCAATGTGATGAAACTAGGGTAAAAGTTTAAAATTAAGATATGCAGTACATTGGCTTTGTGTGACTTAAATTACAATCATCGAGTTAATCAAAATAAGCCAACAGAACAACAGAAATACATGAAGCAAGGAACCATTATTTCATTAACTTGATTTTCATCAGTATACGACAGGTTTAAATTACTGTTTTACCAACCTAGTTACAAGTACCTAAGTGGTATCACATCATGTTCATAAAATGTGTGATTTTTTTACTTGATGCGTAAACCTACACAGATTGTTGTGCTGCACTGAATATATTTACACAGAAATGTGAATAATTCGTTTCGCCGTACAAACATGATACACAGCGATCAAACCAAAAATTACCTTACTTACTTGATAAGAGGAAAAGTAAGCCTGAAATTAAGAGTAGTGAATATATGAATACGTTGAGTGGATTAAGACGATCCATAAGAACTCCACCGACTAATTTTGTAACTGTATAACCCAATGTTTGGGATGTTATCATCAAACCTGTAAAATAAGTAATAAGAAACCGTGTTTAAACATGCAATAGGTTGAAAGAGTAAGAATTTTCGAGAGAACAGATGCGAACCACATGGCAATATTAATATAACTAAATAGTGCAGGTATCCATAAAACTCTGTTAGTAGTGAATTTAGCACAATAGACTTTGTGAAGAGCAAACCATCATTTAATTTCATGCCTAAAGTTAGCAGTTGGTATTATCGACATCAGCAATACACAGTGTCAGTAAAAAGGGTTAATATGGATCAACAAAAACATGACAACTAAAATGTTACGATTGGTCTTTTGTACAATCAAAACAATTTCAGGTTATATGGGATAAGATATATATTTATTCCGTGAAACTGCTTAAAAGCATGATATTACTGTAGACTTAAAGAGGGATCACACTGCAATAATATTATTGAACTGGACAAATCATTTGAGAGATCTTACTAAAGAGTTTCAGTTTTTGGTAAGAAAAATGTAAAGATATTCCGCCCATTCGACTACTTCACCTAGTGTTTCTTTCGGATTTGAACTAGCATATCAGTCCTGGTGTCAGAAATCCTTCACCAAAACTGATCGACAAAATAAACCCTATTAAATAATACACAGAAAACAAATAAAACTGACGAGTCGTGCTCATATACACGCATCTCAATGTGAGATACTTTAGTGCTACATGTACTGCAACCAGCATCGAGATTTTCAGAACGGACAAGGTACGGTATAATTTGAGCCGTATACGACAGTTAAGTGGTGTAACCCCTTCACCATATAACTAAATATGATTACGTAAAATGTTTAACACCTTACCCAGTTGCGAATTTTCTCTAGCCCCTTTGTATTCATTTGGGATTAGCGAGTACACATTCTGTATAGCCTTTTTGGCTAATGATATAAAGAAGTAACTGCAGAATAATAAAATTAACAGTCCAACCGGCCTTTTAATTTTTGTTTGCATTATGCTGTAAAACAAATAACAAAAATAATTATCTCAGTAAAATTTTGCACAACTTATGATCAGAAATAAATTACAGTAGTAGTACAACCTAGTTTATATAACACAACAGGTCACATATTTGTAATTGCCCGTAAATTCGGTCTCACAAGTTACTGTGTGCAAATTTCATACAAGAGGTGTGTTGTCAGTTAGAACTCAATTACTCCTAATGAACTATTCATCTAACAGACTATGAGCCACATTTGTATGTGGGCTGACGACACTATCCATTTACGGAGGCTGAAGTAGGCGAGGTGTCATTCAAACAAGAGACCAAGTGGCTGAAAGGCTGGTTTTAGGCCAATTAGTCATATCTCAAAAAGTAGTGCATGGATACTTATATTCCCTTGAATAGTTCTTTTATTATGGCTTGGTTCCACGCCGTATTTTTCGTACAAGTATGTAATTTGCAGCATTTGATATCGGTAACCCAAATTTTGCAGGCCGATCAATTGATATCAGGTGTGCGTCGGCAGGGGATCGAACCCCCGGCCATTTACATGGTCAGCGAGAATCCTAACCACTATGCCACCGACGCATATTTATATTGTGTGGAAAAATTTGAATATTAAATGCTTATTCAAAGGGCATAAAGTTATAACTTAATCCTACTAGATATTCTGGAAACAAGTACCAAAACAAGATAACAACAAACAGGGATGGGCAAGCCAACGCTGATTCTAGGTTTTGTCACCAGTAATATACTACATGATGAACAAGCTTCCAAAATAAAATGTTCATATTTATAGGAGAGTGAATACGCCAGAAAATTTGTGCAACCAAGAGCATATAAACATGTAATGCTAAGAGCTTATGGAATGCAAAGCATTCAAGAATGCCACATGACTACAGTAAGGTGGATGTAATTCTTGCTACAACCTCTGAACAGACTTAAAGAATTAATGAGTGGATAAGTGTACCCTATCTTTTCATTCAAAGAAAATAAGGTACACACTGAAGTTGACTTAAGAAATCCTGGGTGTCGATAAAGAGGATATGAAATCCATGTTGGTTGTTACAAGAGAACCATAAGGTAGTAAAATATTTAAGATTACGGTTAGAAAGTCATGGAAATATGAGTAAACTAAAAATACTTCGAATTTATAGTACAGTCAGTGGAAGACTAAACTCCCATTTGTTACTTCGATATTTGGAGTTGGAGATATTAAGGTCCCATGTGAAAGGTAAGAAATACCGAAAATAAAATCTGAGGGGTTAATATTGACGAGGAAAGTGTCAAAAGATATTGGAAGATAACAGTACAGTGGGTCAAATTAAAATGCACAGAGTGATGATAAACACAGCCAAAAAGTTGTATGCTCTTCCAATCTTTGATTCTAACGGCGTACAAAATCACCGATTTTGACAAGGGCAGATTAAATTACTTTTCGTTCACCACGTCAATAAATTACTCGATCAACTTTTGTCATTGGTCTCCACATGCCCAGCTATATGAAAATAGATGAAAACAACTCGTAACTATATGTGTTAATTTATAACTAGCATCAAATTTTCCACCAAAACATTGTCAGGGACAGTTCAGAACACGGTGTAGCACACAACAATCAAGTACTCTAACAGCCAATTTATCTTCTGCCGAAGCAGCTTTTGCGAGTTTAACAAGCATAAAAAGAGCCCAGCAACACACTGAAAAACTGGGGCGAGAATGCTTCTCGAAAAACTTAGAATTATTCAACTTTCACCTGTATATTTTGCTTTTTCCTAGTCAGCTTGCTTAGATTTATTAGACTCACTGCTTGACATAGTCTTGTATTGTTTAGGTGTAGGATAAGGTTTGTGAGTAAAAGAACTTATATGGAAGAGGGCTATAGTGAGTAATTTATGCTGCACTTTTCGCCCATGTATTCGACGATCAAAATTGCCCACTGAGCCCACCTTTTGGCTCACTTCGCTTATGTGCATTCTCCAACTGGGTAGTCTTCATTCATGATGATAAATATATGAGGTTTGCAAATTGTTAACATTATTAACTATAAAACTTCAGTAATAACTCCAATATTGGGAATTACTCACAAATCCAAATATTAAGGGTGCAACTACGGTTGGACGATAAATCGATCCTATAACTATAAATAACTTCAGTGATTCATAAGGAAAACCAGACATCAGAATATTATGCTTTTTCGCCATCTATTCTAGGACTTAAAAGTTGCCTAACATCATCATTAACATGGTTTCAAAATGGTTTCTGATCAAAAGTTTACCCTATGGGTTAAGAATTTTTATGGCAAAGTCAAACTATCATAGACAAGATGGCAGTTACCTTGGATGACCGATCACAACCCAGATGCAAAAATGTCCTGAAGTTGCTGCAATATTCACTACAAACCACTGCAAGCATGGCATTAGACTACATAGTTGTCGCGTGTGTGTTCTAAGAATGTCTTTCAGTTAATTCACAAACGATCCATAAGGAAATCACACTATACATGACAGATACGCTCATCCAGACGACCGTGGATCATGGCACTTTGATATCCATTGATATTTCCGACAATGTTCTTTAACTTACTCCTAACTCTAACCATAACCTTAATTTTAACCCGAATTCTAAACTTTACACTAAACCTTAGTCCTAAAAACCATGATCCTACCTAACAGTATACATTTATAGAAAAAGCACCCGTGAAGCAATTAGAAAGCTTCATCTACCCTTTCCAAATATAAAAAGGTAGGCATGGTTTGATGTGGAATTTTTCAGAGCGTCTTCTTAGTCTGATCGGTTCTAAAAGGTCAACTTTTTACGGAGATTGACTTTGGCTATGGTGAAATATTTTGGTAGGTCTTGAAAATAAATGTGGTGTATTTATTAAGTCAAGTATTACCATATATTGTTATTACTTTCTCACGCCACCTCCAGTTTTAAAAGTTGACAATAAGTCAAGGACATATTTAGATAGTTTTTCATCTAAACACTATAACAACACGTGGCACATATTTGTGCAGCAATTTATAAAATTCATAGTGTGTTGTAGTGTATTTATTGCTTTATCCATATTAAATCAACCAAGCAGAGCTTTTTTATATTCTAAGTTATAATGTGAATACGGAATAATGTAAATGTGGAGCACAATGGTATTTTGTAATGGAACTGTTCCTTTGACTAAATGATGTGCGGGAAATGCAAAAAACGAAAACCCTACTGTGTTACATCAGTTCACAAAAAATTATTTGTATTTTGCTTTTGTCCCTATTTCATGCTTTCTGTACTCCTTGAAAATGTCCATTTTTCCGTTACTTAAGTTTTTGTGGAAGGCATCACTAGTATGTTGTTATGCCTTTACAAACCCAGTGAATCACTGAGCTTCAAGCCGGAGCTATAAAATTCCAGTAAGGGTAGTGTTTATTTTTACAGGGTGGGGTTGCTAGCCTCATGCCAACCTGCCACTTTTGCCAGTTTTATCGAGGTGTAGGAGTGCGTTGGTCGAGGGTCGAATCCAGAACCAAAGGAGTGAATGGCGAGCATTCTACCACTAAGTCACCAATGCGTCATCACTAGAATATTAGTCATAAATTCTTATCAGAAGCACACGTCACATGCACCCCCCACCACCACCAAAACACCTGGAGCGCAATCTCTCAGACCTTCCTGGTGCTACCAGCCATTATTTTTTCTTAGTTCTGTCTTCTTGAACCCGCTGTATCCAACACCGAAGTTGCCTGGCGTTAACATGTTTGCATCTGCATCGTCTTCCTGTAGTACTGGTGAAATAACGTCTCTCGGTGACACTATACAGTTCTTCAGACTTCAGAGGTAGCCTTAGTGGACCTAGAGCGCTTCTAGTAGTGTACTGTTTCCCTACATACACTTCCAGTTTAAGATTTCAAACATTACTCGCATCTTGTTTTTCTTTCTCTGCTGACATTTTATAGTCCCAACCCTTTGTTTATAGTGTACATTTCTGATTGCTTCTTTTCATCTCTTCAAATTCCACTATTGGGGATTAGGCCAGGTCTTATTACTTTTGTCAACTTCTTTTTTGCTTCAACAAAGGAAGCTCGACGTGTTTAAATAATCGCTCTAGGTTCTGTTCAAGGAAACCAGTCAGTTAGGCTGCTTGAACTAATTCGAGCTCGCTCCCAATTGACCTTTAACTAGAAATAACCCTCATGATTACTGTGTCCATCTCTCCTGCTTCATCTGAATTCTTACGACATCTGCTGACTCATTTAGACTGGCCCACCTAGCCTAGTTTCCAAGCTGCTCTTAACACCAATCCTACTAGGGAAGGGAGAATCTAAAAATCACAGGTGCTCAAAGGTGCATTTGTTAACGGTCGTATGATGAGTCTATGGAGAAACACAGTCACACCACAACGCAGCAGCCACCCTCTTGTCCCTTGGAATTTCGACTATTCACAGTCTGATTCAGTCAGCAGAGATTAATCAGCAAACCACTAGGAGTGGAATGGCTGAGATGAGGATTACTAGTTTGTGAATAGAATGGTTTTCTTCTACTCCAAAAGGCAGGGGCCAGATTATTTACTTTTAAATCAAGAATACTGATCTATCACTACCGATTTTGTCGAACCAAAACGACGATATGTCGAATCACTGCGTTGGGCACAGTTCGGGTTTACGATGGCGTCTGCCCCTCTTATAGTATATCATTATTACTACCAGATACTGACTGCATTTGGATGTATATGGTAAAGCTGTCATTTCATATATGAACTGCGAGTCAGGCAGTACAGTGACTAGAATCGGCCAAGGAAACAGTCAGATGCACCGATTCCCTTTATCAACAACTGAGCGCATATTTTGGAACATCTCTCATACCTGGCCTGCACATTCTGTCTCATAAAGTCAGTTATCCTGGCTATGTCTTGGCGTGGTATTTAGTCGCATTCACGTATAATCTTCTGTGGTAGACACCGTCACATCACTGTCATCTGGCTTCTACTCTTCTCTGGCCAAACCAAAATCTCATAAGTGTTCTGTCTGAGTCGGCAGTTCTGCATAATTAACCTGGATAGTTTCCTATTTACGGTTTATCCATTCACGTAGATTCCACTTGTACACGCCTGTTTGCCTATAGCAAGATCTGACTTCTGAAGGTAGCCGACTTCTAGTGGAACTTTTACCAATGCATGTACCGCGTATTAACATCCAGTTGATGTAGTTATGCCCTCTGGTTTAGACAGAAAGTCTGTCAACAAGTTATTTTGCAGACAAATTGGCCTTTAACGGCGGTATCTATTGTAAGAACTTTATCTCATCGATTCCCACACTACCTCCCAATAGTGTACCACTTCTTTAAACCATCTAAAATTTCGTCCTGTTGATGCGTAGTGGGAATTCTTCATACGTCTTTAAACAGCACTAATGTGCTGAAAATGGGCATTTTCTGTCGGACTGTGTAAGAATGGATCAGCACAGAACTTCCACGTTCTTCATGTTATTAACTAACAGCTTTATTAATCGCCTGGGTATAAAGTGTGGACTCATCATTCTGGACGACACACGTTTGGATCGATATTACAGGAGTCTTACATTTTACTACCAGTAACATTATAACATAAGGTATTATTCCTCTGATATTTTTAAAACTTGGTCAGCTCGATAGTCACTGAAGTATACTTGCCTACCCGCTGGAAAAGGACTATAATTGTTTATGAGAAAGTTCAACTATCAAATGAATCAGGCAATTTTCTAAATTCCTGGCGGTGATTTACTTTCTAGCCCCTCTCCTTGAAACTCTTATTGTAAGCTTTGTCTGTTAAAAAAGAAGAGAACACGAAGTTAATCAAAGATATCTTTTCGGCGATTACATTCTCAAAAGCTGTACAAACGCATTTATGAGAATGAAATCGCCGAAAAGATGTCTTTGCTGAACTTCGTGTTCTCTTCTTTCTATCGTCTGTTTAACATTAAGAGTCAGACAGTAATTCTCTATGGTCGCAATAAAAATGGTTTCAAGGCATTTTCACAAACCCTTCTAGGAGGCCGGTCACTTCACTTAAACTTCAGCGTGCTTATTCACTTGCCAACCTAGTGTGAAAATAAGTTGGTAGCTGCTATGTGGCCACTGAACTGTCACATTTTTCTCTTAGAATTTAGGGTTGAAGTTCTTTTGTATCAGAATATGTACGCGAATTACTGACCGATAGCGCCTATAAGACTAGAATACGAAGACTAGTGTTTAACGTCTATTTAGTATGCACGCTGTCGGTTAGGTTAGGAGGGGAAACCTCGTCAGACACATTGAAATGCATTCATCATTCATTATCGTTCAACTGGGAAAGAGAAACTTACAAATCATAGTGGCTATTTGTTTATTTGTCTCATCCTTCTATATTCCTTAATGACCAAACGTTCACTGAGTGCCCCTCGCGTTTATATGATGTTCAGCATAGTATAGAAAAGCTAAACTAATCTTCCTCTGACATCCACTTTTCTAAGTTTGCTGGTTTGATTTAGGATACTTGGGTTGATTTCAGGGTTTCTGACCGGATGCTTTCGTTCCCGCATGTCTACTTTAGACTTGGGCTCAGCTGAGACTACGGTGTTACTGATGTGGCTGAACACACATCGCAGAGACAGTTTTACCAAACGATTTTGTTGTAGAGTATGTTAACGAGTGGAAGTTACCGCATATGTATTTCCCTACAATTTAAGGGATGAGCGGCCTCGGCGCATCTATGATTGTGTCACAGCCTGTCAAGTTACCACTCACTGGAGATGGCACCAAATACGATTTAAGACTGGAATTACTCGCAGTGAGGTTGTGCTTAGGCCCTTCTTCTTCTTTTGGTTCTCCGCCATAACTACAAAATTTGAGTTGGTGTGTTGCACCCTATCCATATGTCAATGTAGTTGAAAATTGAACGATCGATTCATGGTTGTTTTCTCAAAACCAACTTCCCCAATTTTCGCGGAGGCATCAATACACCAGTCACCGTCTTATCGGTCGCTGTTCAGAAAGAAGTCAGGAGACAACCGTCAGAAGTAATATTGTGATTTATTATTGTAATATTTGTTCAGAAACCTTAGTTGAAAAGCTTAGTTTTAAAGTTGGCTATATGTTGGTGTTACAATGAAGAATTCTCGAGTCGCCAATCGGTGTTTTGGTTTTTGCGTCCGTTATTACTAAGCGTTTCTGAGAAACTTCAAGGAACAGCGTGAGTCCCAGCGTAGCAAGAGCTGGGCATTAACGAAACGTGGCTGACACCATACGTTTTCTAGATATGTGCCTCAGCCATACTGTCTTCCACACCATATACGCACATTATGTCACTGCAAGACCGTTATATAAATTAAGGTGACGAATTGCCCTTGTCTCACTGAATGCTTAACTGAAAGCCTTTTGGTCTATATAGATAATGGATGGTCCAGCTTTAGTATGTGATGAAGATGTGTAATGGTTAGACAGATTGCCAGCATCTTTGCCAGAGGTAGAATATCTTTTCCAGGGATTGTTACGTTTAGATTTGGATGTGACTAATTCATGGCACCGCCAACCAGCTTGCTAATAGCGGCTGTTATAATCTCATTGGATGAATACTGAATTAATTCAAGGGAAGCATCTATATCAGGACATTTTAAGACTGCGGCTTCTGCCTGTGCACCTCTCAACTGTACAGTTGTATCGGCTGCTTCTTTTAACAGCTGGAAGCCTTTGAGTTTTCCCTTCAACATTTCAGTCGGGCCCTGCATGTTCTCCATGCAGTTATGAATAAAATGTCGATATAAGTCGACCAACCTCAGATTACTTCAGAGTTGAGTAAGGGAATTAGATTGAGGATACTAGCTGATGACATCCAACCTTTTGAATATATATTTGTGCGACTCCACTGCTTTCAATGATGTGCCTTAAGGACTCCACTGCCCCTAAAGTCACTTCGTTCTCTAGCATAAGCAATACTGACCGTATGTAGTCTTCATGTGTGTTTGTATCTGAGCGAGTTATGAGTACGTCACCTATGTATGCCTAACACACTTCTTCTATCGCCAGCAGTGGTGGCAAAGTTGATCATTGAAGGCGTCGACGTAGATGAAGCTTCTTCATTTCCATATATTTCCTAAGTTCCATACTGTTGCTTATCTATTAGACGGTCGAAAGTATTAGCATTAAGCGAAATTCCTCGCTCACTGTCCCTACCGCTTTATTTACGTTT